CATGTGGTACTGGAGGATTGAACCGTGGTCCCTGTGCTTTGCCAAGCTTGTTTCAAGTAGGTGCTTTAGACCACTGAGCCATCTCTCCAGCCCTCCACTCTGATTTAAAAAAAAAAAAAAGTCATGGGAGTGCAGGGCATGGTGGCTTTCCTCTGTACCCCTAGCACTCTGGAGGCTGAGGCGGGAGGATTGCCCTGAGTTTGAGGCCAGGCTGGGCTGTGTAGAGAGTTCAAGACCAGCCTGGACTAAGAGACCATGTCTCAAAAACTTAAAGGGAAAACAAAATTTCCTCCTGTAGTAGGGATTGAATATAGGGATTTTGTACTGAATTATATAAGTACTATGCACTAACCAGATTGTGCTACTGGAAATCCTGTACTGAGTTACATCTTTAACTTATTTTGAGCCAGGGTCTCACTAAGTTGTTAAATTGCTCAGGCTGGGCTTGAGCTTTGATTCTTTCTACCTCATCCTCCCTGAGTGCTGGGATAATAGGCAGGTTGCTTTCATTTCCCGGTCTATTTGTTCTTTTTAGACAGTATTACTTAATATAGAAGTAGACTTTTTTCTTTTGGTGGTACCAGGGCTTGAATTCAGGACCTTGTGCTTGCCAAGTAAGCACTTATTCCACTGAGCTATCTCCCTGGCCCAGAAGTAGACTTTCTTGATGACTGAGGGTCATCTTAATATCCAGTTGTTCTCCTGAACAGAGTAAGTCTGTGGAGTAGTGTCTGAAAGTATGTCACCTCTTTTTTTCCCTACTGTTTTTTGATTGATGCTGAATGCAAGGGTACAGCACCACGTGCCCTCCCCCCCACCCTCAGTGTGTGTGTTGAACCCAAGGCCTTTGAGCTGCCCTTTGTTTTATATTGGGAAATGAACTCAGAACCTCGTACTTGGCAGGCAGACCCATGCTGCTGAACTATATCCTCAGTGATGAGCTGCCTTTTGTTACATTTATTTTTGAGACAGTATCTTGCTGAGTTGCACAGGCTGTCTTGTTAAACTGTGAGTGGGTAAGTAACATGATAGCTCTGGGCTTTTTTTCTAATTCTTACCATGCCTTGTAAACTTAGTCTTGTATGGGTAATTGGCATTTTTTGATTCAAATGTTTCATGTCCCAGCCAAGATTATTTTACTGAGAATATTAAAATGTATGTTCTAGGGGCTGGAGAGATGGCTCAGTGGTCTAAAGCACCTACTT